ATAAAGAGCCATTGTATGGAGATACCATATATCCCCTAATAGTAACAATGTCAAAGCGAGCATAAAAGGTTCATCGGCTGAGTTCCTCATCCGGTGACAGTCGAAACCAAATCCCTTGTATTCCACTATTACCACGTCTTCTAAACAAGGCCATTTGCCTCTTCCTCGACATGAGGAACAAACCCATCTTTGTTCCTAGGTAATGATGAGCCATCGGGTATCCAATAACATGCTGGGTGGTCGTATGTGTAGCTGTAAAAGAAACAGTGGAAGTGCCCTTTGTTGCTAAAAGGGGATTTGACACTTGCTAATTTCAAGCCTGCGTGGTCCTTTCAGTTTCAATACCCGGCTGTTCGCTACTTATCCAATCAGGATTCGCCGCAATTCTATCCATATTTATCCCGAGTTGGGCTATAACCCAGGTAGGCGAGTAAATGCGTTGCTAACGCAGCAAGTTGACAAAGCCGTTCATGGAAAGTATCGGAAACAGTTCAGGGAGCATGGTAAAGAGCCCACAGTGCTCTCTGCCTACCCCAGTTAGTCTCCCGAGTACGTACAGAAGTGAGTCCATCAAATCGAGGACTCTGTAGGAGACCTTCCTGTGTTTTTAGCTTCTTGAAAACGAATATGCCGGATTTACAATAGTGCTTTTCTACTGAATACACGTAGTCGACGATGTAAGGTAGTAGTCTAGAAAATATGCTGGCACTGCTGGCTTGGTACGTGCACCAAAAGGCACATATGCCTGACTAATACAACTATACTCGAAAGAGAAGGTGGGGTCCATATGCAGTTGAACCCTTCAGGCGTCGAGTCAAGCTTCCCAGTAGGTGCCTACAAATTCGCCTTGCTTGGCACCAGGTACACAGTACATATTTTAGCGGGGATTTTAGCGAGTACATATCCGATACCTCAAGGACGACGAACTCTCTCGGTAGACCACCCTGATCACCTCATTACCTTGCGCGTTACGCCAAGTACTTTCATGTACATAAGCCCTACTAGCGTACGAGTACGTGCCGCGTCCTAGATAAGGTACGTACAGTCACTCCTCACTAGAAACGAGCAAAACTAAACTTTTTTTTTGAATTTATAATTGCAATAACTCTGTCAATTTATAAGATATAAGGCTATAGGTAGTTTTAATATGTTAGACATACTATAATAAATATAAATAAAAAAAGAAATATTTAATACTTATTTTATTTATTTAATTATATATGTTTTAAGTTTTTGCTAAAAAAGTAGGTAAGTATATTCTTTAATAGTTAAATTAGAAAAGTAGGTATATATTAAGTACCTATATAATATAAAAGCTATTGATAGCCGTTATATACTTTTATTTTTAATAGATATTAGACCATGTTGTTGTTATGTTATGTATTCTTAAACATGTTGAGTTTTGGTGTAAAACATCGTGGTGCTCGTTTCTAATGGGTCCCCACTGTACGTACCTACACGTAGTACCTCTCTGTCGGTACTCGTAGGCATCTATTCTTTCTAAAAGAGTCCTAAAGGAAGGGTTGTGGGAAGCATCACTTTCTTTTTTGCAACAAGGTAGTACCTACCTAATCGTTGTCATTCGCCCATCTGCTTGCGTTTTCTCTACTCGTCGGCCTGGTCTCCCTGGATCTTGCCCTTTTTCATTTTTCTGCCCCTCTCTTTTAGTCACCGTTTGAAACTCCCAACTACCTACACGCATCGCACATGAGCAAGTACGAGTACGTAGACGGCGCGCATACGATCACGTTCATTTAGACAAAGCCGACTCCGCCGGAAATTCGGCATTTCTTTCTTTTCAGCCTATAATGATATAGGCATCGTCGAATATCATTGTATACCGATCTATACCTCTTCGAACCCACACAACCTTCTCTCAGCCTTGCGCCCGCCGCCAACGAGACCGCGACCATGGGACTCTTCGGCGGGAAAGCCAAGCCCAAGACGGCGCGACCCGTCGTGCGAGTAGAAAAAGTCGTCGTGCCCAGCAAGCCTCGACCGAACCCTATAACCAACAAATCATACGCATCCTCTCGTAATCTCACTCCCTCAAACACGCTGTCGCCTCGCCCGCCCACGTCGCGACCTAAGAGCACGTCTCCGTACCCCTCCTCATCCGACGAGCGGCGGCTCGACCGAAAGCGCAAGGCGGCCATGAGTACGCCTCGCGACTCGCCTGCCTTTGGGAACGACTCCGAATCCGAAGAAGAAGATGGTGACCCGTTCAGGAAGCGCATACGCCATAACCATGGCAGACCGGTTGATCACAACCGCAAGTTGCGCCACAAGTTGGCATTTACCGACGACGTCAGAAGGCCTCCTATCATTCATGGAGCCGATATGGCCTCAAGGGCAACCAAGTGTCCGCCAATATCGGGCGCAAAAGACAGCGAGGTGCCGATTGAAGTACAATATCCTTCACGTTGCGCGCGCGAGAGGTATGTCTAGCGCGGGTCATGAGTATATATTATCTGCACATGTGCTTACTATATATCGCAGATACGAACTCGTCTGGCAAAAGGACAAGATCGATGCCGTGAAGGACATCCTTGCCATTGTTGAAAGCGTAGCCGAGACATATCTCTCCGAAGAGGAATCAAAGGTCTTTATCGACCATAACACGAGTTACAGGAGACAGATGGAGCGAGCCGCTAGCGAAAAGTACCGAGACGTCCAGGCCTTCCGCGCAGCCCTTGACAATTATAACACGAGACTCTCAGAGTTGGTAGAAAACGGGACCATCGCCAAGCACCTTGATCGCATTCATCACCTGCCATCCAGTCTGGTCTCCTTGATCCTCACCCAAGTCTATGACCGGACTGTTGCCCCAAAGGTTGAATTGCTCACGAAATACAATGCCGGAAGCGATAATGTCTACGGTGAACTCTTGCATCCATTCGTCACCAAAATACTGGTTGAACAGACCAAAATGACCTCGGACCAAGTTTTCGTCGATCTGGGTTCAGGAGTGGGTAATGTTGTCCTCCAGGCAGCGCTTGAGGTCGGTTGTCGGAGTTACGGATGTGAGATGATGGAGAACGCTTGCAATCTCGCCGACGCCCAAGTCAAAGAATTTAGATCTCGGTGCATGCTCTGGGGTGTTGCACCGGGGAGGGTCCATCTCGAGCGCGGGGATTTCCGGACAAATGCAAAAATCCTCGACAAACTAAAGGAAGCCGACGTCATACTCGTGAACAACAAAGCGTTCACCTCGACATTGAATGACGCCCTCATCAACATGTTCCTCGACTTGAAAAAGGGCTGCAAGATCATTTCCCTGAAATCCTTCGTACACGACAACAAGACGGCCATTAACGATGTCGCCACGAGTATTCTGGACGTGGAATATTTCCGCTATCATGAGAACTGGGTCAGCTGGACTGGCTCCGAAGGGGAATACTATATCTCGACTAGAAAATAGCGTCGGGTTACTAAGATGGTGTAGAAGACTCGTGCCCTCTACACAAAGCATGTGTTAGCCGGTGGTCCTCGGGTAACCGGGGGCACAGCGTAACAGTATGCGTGTCGCATAATCTACTGGAAAGCTACAGCTTGCCAGGTTGTGAGCGATATTAGCGTGTTCGAAGACTTACTGTATAAATAACGAGAATGGGTTTTAGATGATTGCCAAGATAAGCAAAACAACGATGAATGTTGCCTTTTTTCGGCCTTTATACGTTTTCATTATCTCCTAGGTTTGTTGGGTGACTCGTTCTGGAGGTTCAAGGCATCGGCCTCTTGCCGCATCCTCTTCATCCAACGGTCAACAAGCTCGGTATTCTCGGCTTGTACCTTGGCCAACTTCTGCGAGGTGACGTTGAGCTCCATATTCAGCGTGAGGTTGTCATCCTGGACATCCTATATAGAATAAGACTGGATTAGCGAGCACGCCCGTATAATCGACCAAGCAAGCCCAATGCCCCTTCCCTTTTCCCTCCTCCCGCCCAAATCACGTACCTTGAGGAACTTCCTCTTCTTCTCAAGCTCTTCGTTCAAATCACGAACCCTAGCCACCAACGCGCCGCGCTCGGCGACCAATTCGCTGACGCGCTTACTCTCTACCTTGGACTTGGACCTCAACGTAGCGAGCTCGGCCTCGGCGGCTTTCAACCGGGCCTGCGCCTGGCCTTTTCCGCGAAGAGCTTCGGCGAGGTCGAGACGTAGCTGTGTCGCGTCTGCGGTGGAATGATCGGGGTTCTGGGTCTTTGTCTTTATCTTTGTCGTCGCTTTTGTATCCGTGGATTGGAAGAAATTGGCTGCTTTCTCGGCTTCGAGGGCTGCGACTCGATCGGCAAGTTGGGAACCTTTTGTTGTTGTTTGTTTGTTTGTTAATTTCTGGATTTGGTAGGGGAGGGGGTGTGGTTGGTTTGGTAAATAGGTCGTAACTGGCGGTGGAGTAGGGAGGGAGGGAGGGAGGGAGGGAAAAGGGAACTTTTTAACGTACAAGCTTCGACTAGATCCTTGTTTACGGGATTGTTGCGCTCGGCCTCTTGCAACGAGGTTAGATAGTCGTCCCGCCAATCTAGCATCGTGGGTTTACTGTTTTTTTGTTCACGTGGCAGCTTTTGGGTTTCTTTACATAACGGATTAGAGGGGTGGGTTGTCTACAGTATGTACGCGCTCAGCTCACGAAAGCTCGAAAGTGGAGAGGTTACATCAATGGAGGGGTAGCTGAGAGGATGTCGTTTTGGGACGATTTCCTGGTATGTGGCGCTATAATATCATTCCTGCGTGTGTCTACTCATACGAGTACGTGTAGGATAGCAGGCTAAGTTTGGTTATTAGGTCAAGTAGCAAGGAGCAAGAACGTTTCTTAAAAAAATGTAAACAAGTCAACATTACTTGACCATTCAACTTTGTTTGATCCTGCCGTTTTTACGAGTAGATATCCCACTACAAGTCTAGAGCACAAGACATACACACTGTGTCCATAAACTAAGCTTGGAGGGGTCAAAAAGAATCGTCAAAAATTTAAAGTCTTTGAAGAAATTTTTATATGATGATCTCGCTGGGGGTCGAACCCAGAATCTCCTGATTACAACCAAGACTGATCCCACTGCTGTTGAATCGCTCTTCGTAGTCAGACGCCTTGCCATTGGGCCACGAAACCTTGTTGGTTGGAACAACTGCTTTCTATCCCGCATTAAGTGGATTGACTGACCGGTAGACTAGGGGAAAATACTTTTTTTCTGATCAGAGTCCTTTATTCAGACTTCATTTTACTTTACTCACACTCTATTATCAAGCTTGCACCTAGGTATTCAATTTATACCTAAAGTGCTTATCATCCGTATGGGATCTTAGATCCAAAGTGAGAAGCGCAGACGTGAGACTATGCATGTCTTAGCGTGATATATTTATACACAAAAAGAGAAGAGATTCTAAGTACCTTCCTTGACCTATCCGGCAGTTTGACTCTATAAAGTACACACATAACCTAACAGGTATCACGACATCTTTTCGTCTTCTAGCGCAGCGACATCTCCCCTCTATCGGTCGAATCGAATTCTATGATAAAGCATATAATGTCTCACGAACTAGCTACCTACCTAGGTACTTTACTAAAAAAGAGCATCATCCATGGGTTTGACCTACCTAGGTACCTATCACTTGTCATATAAGCGCAATATCACTCACTCACTCCAAAAAGAAAGAAAAATCCACCATTTTACCTGACACCAAACTCCCCCTCAAAAAAACGGAAACGAAAAAAAAAAAAGAATTCGAGGCCCAAACGCGATTTGAACGCGTGACCTTGGGGTCTGCAATCCCACGCTCTACCACTATTTTGTATGCGTTAGTTTTATGACAGACTTGGGCTTTTATCGTAAGACCAACGTACCTGAGCTACTGGACCGATTGGAAAATATCGCTTCGCAATTTATCTTATGTAGTAGGTAACGTAGGCGAAGCAAAAGTCCCCACTGAACTCTGACACTGCCTAAGTAGTGGGTCAGGTCGGATTAATCTTTGGGCTTAACAAGAGGGATGAGTGGCATATTCCGGTCATTCATCTTCGGAGTGTACCTCGGACGAGCCGACCAGGGATAGCCTTTCCTGATGTGTCCGATGCAATCGTTACCTACGGCCCTCCAATCCCGGCCTCATCGGGTAGGAGCACAAGGGGAACCGGTGAGCTGTGGCCGAATATCTGAGGCCACAGCCCAAAGGTTGAGACAATGTCAAAGGTATAACACAAGGCATCAAACCTTTACTACGCAAATGACATTAAGCTTGACGTCTACAAAACGAAAAGTGCGAAGTGTACCTAAGGTAAGGTCCTGCATATGAAGCACCTGGAACAGCATAACATGAGACCCTGAGAAAACACGTTTTGTTCTAACGAATTGTATATCAATCAAGGCGTAAATGGCATGCGCACCATCCCGAGTCGAATAATAATTCAAGTATAAATCAATCCAACCTCAATCGGTCCAAGTTAGTATAGGTATACGAGTGAAATGATGCCTTCGGGACATTTTCACTTCTGCCTGCTGTGCCCCATATATACAGGGGACCGAAGGAGTCACCGAACGTGACGTTCAAATACGGCGTAAGCAGCCCGTAACCGACGGGGGGCACATTGCATATAAAAGCCGAGACTATCCCCTCTTCGCCTCCCCCCCCTCTCAGGGGCTGAAGCGGAATCCATCACGGCCCCAACGTCCAAACTGACTGCCAACGACAACCGACGAAAATCATTCACCAACAAGAACATTTCTGATCGGAAAATATATGAAAATCAACCCGATGGCTTCTACAGAATCCGACTTTCCCCAGTTGAGTAACCCTATGACGGTTTCCCTTAATTTCGACGTATGGGCCCTCATTTTTGCCCTGGTAAGTAAAGTACCTAATTACCTATTTTCGGATCCCCCATCCAGCCACACAATATTCGTTCGTTCCGTCTGACGTACCGTATGAGCTTCACAGCTAGACAGGGAGGACTTCTACAATGCGTGCTTGACATCGCGTGCCTGGAACACGATGGCCATGCCCTATCTCCACAGAAGTGTTCCCTTGACAATAGGTAGAAGGAGATTAGGTCGTCTCCGCCAAGGAGTGGAAGAGGATGGTATGAAGCGCGTGACCTCATTGTGCAATAGACTCCTGGATCAGAAAAACGACCGACTAAGAAGAGCGGTGCGTGAGTTGGAAGTTGGGTTATTCGATGACCCCTATCGGGAGATTATGCAGAAACGGCTGTTGAAGCTCGTCGATAGCCTTCCCAACTTACAACGGGTCAAGTATGACAGCAATTTCTCTCCTATTTTATGGTAGAAGTGCATATTGCTAACTAGGTACCTTATGCAACCCCCGACCAGGATTAATATCCACGGGATGCCACAGAAGGACCTGGAGCGCCTTGTCACCAACAAGAAGAAGATATCGTGGCACTTGTACGGGGGGGCTGTGGATGTGGATGGGCAACGAGAGGTTTCGGCCGATATGCCGAATGTGGTAGCCCTTGAAGTCTCGGTGAATCCCTGGTACACCCCAAGACGGTCACAGGGTCCGCCGAAAGACTTAATGCGGAGTCTCCAGCAGTTCTTCTTCGCCTGTCCCAATCTAAACTTCTTTTCTTTTAAACTGATAGGTGGGTATGGCGGGTGCATGCCTCAGATCCATCGTCGCGCAGTAATACGAAGCTTTCGGTTTTCCGGTAACGAGAAATTCCCACCATTAGGGAAGCTGGAGCTTAGCGGGTACCAGCCTCGAGAAGACGAGTGGCACCATTGGCAGCAGAGGTTCCAATGGTCCAAGTTGGAATCACTCAGCCTGGGACCGAGATCCTCGTCTGAATTTTTAAAGCTCGCCACGGGTTACGCTCGACCCCGAGACCTCGTCGTTCAGCAGCACACCGACGAGTACTGTGGAATCAATAAAGCGGTATGGGAAGAGTATCTCATGTCTTTCAGCACCTTGGAAAGCCTCACCGTCAGGGGTTACGGACTTTCACCTGGCCTTATCGGAAACCACCCGGGACTGAAGCATTTGTGCCTGCACGCATTCGAGCCCTTTAGGGCTGAAGATACAAGACCGACTTTTGGCGTCGAGCAGCTGCGAGAACTTGACAGGCTCTGCGCCGATATTGAGACCCTGGAGCTTGATCTCCACCGGCACGGTGAATGGGTAAGAAAGAAAGAAAGAAAGCAAAAAAGGTGTACCCACAAACCTGGACCAGAAAAGATCAAACTAACGGAAAATGTTCATCACAGCCAATCGACATCATCGAAACACTAGCAACAGGTTTCAAAAACCTCCGAAGATTGACTCTCCATCTCGAGGTCGGCATAAAGACCGAATACAGTGACAGGGAACTCATACAGCCACAACTTAACGAGGCCTCGGCCAGAGAGATTGGTGAACAGTTTTTCAACCTGCGGTCTTCTTCTTCTTCTCCATCATCGAACCTGAGCGTGTTCGCCCTCAAAACGGGAGAGCCTCTTCGAAGATTCCCTCAGCGGGAACCGCTCTTTGGCAGAATAGAGCGGGAGAATACAATCACAGTCGAGGTTCATAAGCCCCGCGATATAGGTGATAAGCCCAAGGTCGTCGTTCTCCCTCAACCTAGTCATTGGTGGTAGAACCGGACATTTTCTCGCTCGTCACACAGCCGCGATGTAGGTACAGGGGCCCCTGAACCAATTAGGTAGGACTCGTCTCTCTCCTTCTTACCAACACAACTGCCTGTTACCCCCCCGGACCCTCATAATGAACGGCAAAACTTGGCAGGTATTGGTTGTCATGTGTTATACAAAGGAACACTATGGATCTATCCATCCATAGAAAGACCAGGGGGCGGAACAGGGCGTCTTCGTCCAACTAGGTAACGATGTATTATCCCTTACTTGTGACTCGTTTCCCCCCCCGGGTGTTTCATTTCAGGGCGGCTGTGATTCCTCGCTCCTTATCCCTTACGTGTACCATAACCGGCTACACCCGTCGGCATATTCTGTTTGCCTAGTTTCTGGGCGGCTTCTCTGTTGTTTCCCCCCCCCTCTCCAGCGGCTAGGTGGATAGGCAGGCTTCGACTCTGTACCAACCACTCCCCTGGGTTAGGTCAAGCTTCCTCGTCCTAGTTCAATGTGCAATATCAGATCAGGAACCCACGTATCTCACCTCTACCCTATGAAAGGGCCTCAGACCACCTCATACAATCCTTGTTGTTTGACGCTCGACACACTCACTACCTACCTACGTTCCAAAGTCCTGTGCATGATAAAAGAAGACGAACTTCGCCACGCTTCCATATCATCAAGTTGTATGTTTAATGTAGTCGACGTACAAACAAACACCGATAAGTAGGTATACATCGATCTAACTACAACTACAACCACAGCAAGGCAAAAAGGAATAACGTGGCGGTCGCAAGTCCGACGTCAGCAAGAAGGGTCATAGTCATGTTTCTTCTTGTCCGGTATGACAAATGTATCTATCCGGCAAGAATTTCCAACATGACAAACTGCCTTACTCCGACGCCCACTGTAGCAGTATATCCTGGCAATAAAACAAACCAAACCTGCACTTACAGCACTCTGTCCAGTCATCTACCCCGGCTGTGATCTTTGGCTACCTTATTCAAAAGGGGCAAGATGTCTCGTGGCCTTACTCTGCAGAGGCTAATGGCTAAGGTGTCGAGACGAGGATATTCGGAGCGAGTCTTTCAAGGGAGAATGGCCCAGTTAGTTTTTTGGACGCCTGGGGAAAAAATAAGTGTTTTTCTATCAGATACTTTCAAGCGTATTAAGAGCATCTCTACTTGGTCTACTTACGAGTACAGTTCAACTCCTTTTTGCAGATCATGATAGGTACTCGGATCTAGCCTTAAATATGGGCAAGCAAGAAGGAAAAGGGGGGAAGTCTAACTAACGTGACGCACTTTAATACAAATGGGATAAGGGGTTAATAGAACAGAGAATATAACGATATCACTGTGAACCTCACTGGATAGAATAACAATGTCAATATATCTACACCAAGGCCTTGGACTATTTCAAAAATAAAATAAACAATAAACAATAAAAAAACGGAAAAAAAGAGAGGTTGATGTTCCAAGTGTAACTTGGAAGCATCGGGAATTGAGCCCGATGCGGGGGTCGAACCCGCAACCTTGAGATTAAGAGTCTCACGCTCTACCGATTGAGCTAACCGGGCGAGCGAATTCATTTGTTGGAATGTGCTCCCGGGATTGGCGTCTATGAACCGGATCAGTGGAGAACATGAGGCCGTGGGTCCGTGCGACAAACTACCACAACAAACATTTGACATTTTTACCTACAGTCCCCCCATATCAACCCCTTCACCTATGGACAGAGATATTTGGACGCTTATCTATTTTCTGACTGCGAATAGGTATCCGACTAGGCTCGATGATATATAGTTTTGGGGGCATTGTCAACGAGTCCCTCCCCGCAGTTTTGTTTTCGCAACCTGTCTTGCCCCCAGCTTGTCTATTGCTGCTTTGCCTATCTACTAGCTTCGTTCCGCACATATTTTAGCCTGAGTGGGGGTGTTGGTGTTGGGTAGGTTAGGTTAGGTATGAGACGACCATGAAGTAAGTCCGGTCAACTATTGTATGTTAGTAACTGCAGACTGCAGCCACACTATCTAGAACCTGCAGGGTTGGTATGTATGTTAGACGGGGACGGATAGGAAAAGAACTCACCCGCTCCCTTTTGACTCATGTCTGGGTCCGATGAATGGTCAACTCACTAGCATTCTGCGCCCCCATGATCCATCCTCACCGAGACTTGAGAGGAGAGGGACGTTATGTATGTACCAGTAGGATTTCT